CCTCAAAATACTCAAATACTGACTCAAACATGCCTACTTAGTCGACACGTGCTCAGGGCAAAACAAATCCCACTCATGAAACATCACGTTGATCTCAGTCACCGTCTTTGTCTTCTGCTTGAGAGGCAGGAACTCCTACGCCAACCTTTCTCTCTGCCTCTCAACCATTGGTACAAAATCATCTCTGAACATCTTAGTAAACATCTCCCATGTCACTACAATATGCTCTGCAAGAGAATAGTTACCTGTCACAAATTTCCACCAATCCTTCGCTCCTAAGCGAAGTAGATTCAACATGAAATGAACTCTCAGATTCTTCGAACAAGAGCAAGTGTAAAAACAAACCTCAACATCAAAAATTCATCTCATCGTAACAATCGGGTCCTAGGTCCCATCAAACTCAGGTGGCTTTGTGTTGTTGAACTCCCGGTACCATAATGAATCACCCTATGCAATCTCGCAACAACAACAACTGCGGGGGCTACGACAACAGCAACCTCAGTGTTGGCGGCATAGCGCTCATCAAAAGTCTCAATCAGCATGGTCTTAATAGACCCAAACATCTCTGGTATAACCCCTCTGATCTTTGCGGACACCTCGACAACAACAATCCTACGGATCTCATCATCACTAGCACTCGGCCTCTCTAGGTTGCTGGAGCCTGAACCTCGGGTAACCACCATACTCAAACACATAAGAAAACGATCGAAATCGGGCTAAAGTGCATACACAAATATCCACACACCCCTGCAAGTTCCTTCGTTCCTTAAGATTATTTCTTGAGTCACATACGGATTTGATGCTTTTATTAGTACGGGCCCAATACTACCTTCCACACCACCCCGTATTTGCCTCAAGTCGTCCTCTCAAGACCCTAAGTCACAAGGACTCTATTTCTCAAGATCCACTGCAAACTTGCCCTACTGGTTCCTTAGAAACACTACTAAGCATCTAGGTACTCATTCTAGACTGCTCCCCAGCACTGCTCCGCCTCATAAGGTCTCCACTATCCTTGCCATTTGCCTTGCGCATGTCAATCGTACACAATACAAGACCCGATAGACATTTTAATAGATGATTCTATCTCAAATCCACAACCAAACAAGGAATAGGAAGAAAGGCTAAATCATGCATTCTAAGGCTATAAAGTCCTAACTTTGTACAATCATGCAACACATACCAAGCAAATATCAATGACAAATTCAATCTTATAAGAGCAAACTCCTAGGCTAAAGGCATCACAAATCAGACAACCCTATCACACCTTTAATGTAGGATCCTTAGCCTATCACTATCATGCATTTTTATCTGTTCATAAGATATCCGCTCTACACTACTCATAAAATAATTTGACATATTTTGGGAAACTACCGCTCGAGCTATGGCTGATTATACACACTTCTTCACTAGTTTTTTCTCATGTAAAATTTCTTTTGCTCCTTTGAAAAGTTTTTATAAAAATCTTCATATTCTTAGTTTGAATTTGGAATTCCCCTAGAGTTCATCCAAATCCCTCAAACCAGGACTCTGATCCCAACTTGTAACATCCACATTTTCAAACCAAAATTTTCATTTTAAAACCCCCCAAAAAATAGTTTTCATAATAACCATCTCAAAAAAGTCATAGTATCAAATACAAGTCCACATCAAATATCAGAGTGTCCCAAAATATCTAGTAACAAAATCTCCCAACACATGTGTATAATCAGACCTTCGCTTTCCCGCGATCCTCAGAAGTACCTGAAACACATATAATCAACAGATGTAAGCACAAAGCTTAGCGAGTTCCCCATGATATCACATACAACACAACACATAAAATAGTTAGGAGTTATCAGCAACCCTAGAGACTATCTAAAGTCTCAATGGGCATCAGCACGCCCCGTGGGTTATTAGCAACCCTGGAGAATACCCAAAGTCTCAACAAATATGAACATATACACAGTAGTGACACTTAGACCCAATTGGTCATCACATCATATATATATATATATATATATATATATATATATATACATATATATATTGTGACAATCGTCAATCTTGAGTCAAGTCAAGTCATCAGGTCAAGCCGGTCAACTCGATTAAACCTTGTGTATTAGGGTTTGTGTTATGTTCGTACTGTATAACTTGCTATATTAATGGGAAAACATCACTTGAGAAAAGTCTCGTGTTAAAAATTTTCTAAGCCCTAGTGCTAATCAATGAACTAAACTGATAAAAACCATGTTGCATACTCATTGGGAGTGTGTGGGATCCTTAACCATGACTTAACGGGGCTCAAGAGACTTGCATTGCGGAGCCAAACACTCACAAATGCCACACTTGAAATCTCTCTCAAATATCTCTCTGTATGAGAAATCTCTCCAAGAATGTGAAATCTCTCCCAAATCTCTCCAAGTATGTGAAATCTCTCCAAATATCTCTTTGTATGAGAAATCTCTCCAAGAATGTCAAATCTCTCCCAAATCTCTCCAAGTATGCGAAATCTCTCTCAAATATCTCTTTGTATGAGAAATCTCTCCAAGAATGTCAAATCTCTCCCAAATCTCTCCAAGTATGAGAAATCTCTCCCAAATCTCCCTCAAATAGTTCCCGTAACTTTTTAGAATCATTCGGGTCATTCCGGCCCTTAACCGGGTCAAAAACGGCTTAAAACGGGGCGAAAACGAGAAAAATAGGCTTTAGGAACCGAAACCAAGAAGAGAGGCTTCTTAGGCGAGGACCGAGCCTCTGTTGGCTGTGGCATGCGAGGACCGAGCCTCTGTTGGCTAAAGAATGCGAGGACCGAGCCTCTGTTGGCTGTGGAATGCGAGGACCGAGCCTCTGTTGGCTAAAGAATGCGAGGACCGAGCCTCTGTTGGCTAAATGCACGCGAGGACCGAGCCTCAGTTCTCTGTCGCCTCATCTGCTCCCTTCTTCTCGATCTGTCTCTACCCGCCTCTCTGTCTCTTCCCTACTCTCGGTCTCTACTCCGCCCCTCTGTCTCTTCGCGCCCTTTGTTCTCTCCTCCCCCCTCTCGGTTCCTTCCCTCTCTCTTCTCCCCTCTCGGTTTCTACCCTCCCTCCTCTCGGTTTCAGCATTAGAAGGCCGAACCTCGGCCAGACTTCAGGAATTTGTCACTTTTAGCCCATTTTTGATATTTTTAACATTTTAAGCCCGTTTTTCGTGATTTTAAAGCGGGATTTTCTCCAGAAATTATATTTTAACATAATAAACTATAAATATTCATAATTTAAACATATTTTTATGAAAATCATTATCTAAATAATAAAGATCTAATGGGGGATTTATTTAAGGTGGAGTGTTGACTTTGCCTTAACTTATGACACAAGCAACCACCCCACACCCACTCTATGACCAGCCATACCTCCCCACCTTACCTATGTCACTTCAATGTCCCCTTACACTCAAATTTCACTCACTCCCACGTTTTTTTGATCTGGAACAAACAGCCACACTCCTCATTTTCTCTCATTTCTCTCATTCCACTAAGTAACAAACACCACTTTTCTCTCAAACTTTTTCTACACAAATTTTCGAGATTCAAGGCTGATTTCAAGTGTTCTTCCACTCTTAGTAAGTAAAAATTCATCCTCCCTATTATTATTTCACTTCCTTCTACTCAAATCTTTGATTGCTTACACAAACTCCATAACCATAATGTTAGATTCTCGAAAACCTTCAAGGCATCTCCAAGTGTTCTTGAATTAAACACTTCCATTCTTCAACAATCATCTACTGAAATCACTTAAGGTGAGTTCATACCCCTACATTTTCATGTTTTCTCAAGTTTTCAGGGGGGGGGGGGAATACAAGTTAAAACACCAAGAACATAACTAAATTTTTCTAACAGCCTTCATCAGAAAAGTTCAACTCCATTCACGGACTGTTTTGGGCATCTTAAACATTTTTTTTTCAAAACTGTACAAGGTTCAAATATTTCATGTTTGTAGCTTTAAAATGACTACTTGCACATCTCCATACGATTTTTCTACAATTTATGGTGATTTTTTACAAAACTGCCTATCATTTCAAACACAATCCGGACCAGTCTGTGATTATGGACTTTTCACACAAGTTGAAGGTCATTAAAAATCGTGATAAAAATTATGAGTAAACTAGACACATTTTTGAACTCTCAGAATTTACGGATCTAGTTTTCGACTTCGTATGATTTTTCTATGATTTTTCCAAACAGGGCAGAATGGCTAAAGTTAGCCAACAGCATGTAAATATCATAACACTTTGTATTTTGTTGAGCAAAGTGTATAATCATAAGTTCTAATATTTGAATGTGTTTCCTTGTTAGTTTATCATTATGAACTGAAACTAAGTCATTCATACTAAATATTATTCATTCATTTTGGAACACGTATTATTTAACTATAAAAAGTATAGTTTGATAAATTCACAACACTAATACATTTCCATAAAAGAATTCATACATATTACATACATTTTAGATAAACTATAATAGGTATAGTTTATGATACATCACTCAACACACTCGTACAAAAAAGGGTACATTCATACAAGAAAGATTTAATTCACACACATTTCACGTAAACTTGTTAACCTATGTTGTGAGACCACTACAAGAAAAAAAGGCCTTTTACGACGCGCAAAATACGACGCTCATTGATCTATGTTACGCAAAGGAGAGTGACATTAGAAAAATGTCATCTCTTCAAAAAATTTAAGGATAGAAGAACGCATTATTGCGCGCCCTTAAATTAGTGTCTAAAAAAAACACGGAGGGCACCTATAATAAAATGCACGTCGTCTAAGGATGTCACTTTATAATTTTTAATGGAACGCGCGTTCCATCCTTTAACAGTAGGGGGAAATGAAATTCTGAAAAAATTAAAAATCCCGCCTTCCTTTTTTTTCTCCTTTCCCTCTTGCCCTGGACGCTCCTTCCTTCCCCCTCCCGACATTGACTGCTGCTTACTTCTTCCCTCACTTCTACTTACTGGAACCACCATATCTCCCACTCGATGTTGAAATTGTTAGAAAAAGCCCTAATTATACTCTCAAGTCTAAATACAGAAAAAATAGAAGATGGTGAAGAAGTAGCAGTAGAAAAAGCCCTAATCGGAGGTGGTCCTGTTCTTCATTGTTTCTTCGATGTTGGAATTGTTAGAAAAAGCCCTAATCGGAGGTGGTCCTATTCTTCCTCCCACCACGATTCCCAGCTTTTGTTCGCCGGAACACCGATTCCACCGTGGTTTCTGATCCACGCTGACCAGTCGTCCCAGTCTTCAATGATTTTCTGCCATTCAAATCCGGATGGGTTCAAAAGAAAAGGGGCGAACAGCCACGACACGACTAGGAACCACATTGAGATGGTTAGGTGGCTCTGTATTTGGCGCCGCCGTGGAGAATTGTGCGACCGAAATAGTGAAGTTTGGTGCCAAGAGAGAAGGTGAAGAAGACAGCGGAGAGCTGGAGGTTCATGATTATTAGACACACACACACACACACATAATTGAATTCCATTTCTAGGGCAATAGCAGGCAACATCGACACACTCTAAGATTGCAACCTTCTCACCGTCCGTCTGTTTGGTATGTCTCCTCCCAACGTTGATGGTGGTGTTGCCGTCTCAACTACTCATCTCCTCCACCACCGCCTTCCATTCCATCTTTGTTTGCTCCTAATTCCATCTTTGTTTGCTACGTGTCCATCATAAATGATTTTTCTTTTTGTTTTTTTTTTTCTGGCAGAGGGACGTCAACTCAAGAAGGGGCGTCAAAATTTTGAAATTGGAGATGGAAAATTTCTGCTTTCGTCTACGTCTTCTATGTTCCATTGTCGGATCTAACCACCTCCGTATCCTCAACGATCGCCTGCAATATTGTTGATTTTGTTGATGGTTTGAAGGTTTAGGTTCAATCGATTGTCCTACTCTTAGCCATGTCACTTTCTTGGCGGATTCAGTTAGATTCCCTTGACCTTCGAATTTCTGGACCTGTAGATCGATAGGTGCGATGGTTGTTAACACTTGCCACTGTTGAAAGGTTCTATGTCTTTAATGGTCCGGCCTCATACCCGGTCCTCATCTGTTACTCTACCCCTGTATAATCACTAAATCATCATATTCTTTCAATTTTCTCCAATTAAATTCATTAGTATTGTTTTTGTTCCATTTCCAAATACCGTTGATACGGTAAAAATCCATGAGGATTTGGAGATAATACTTACATGTTTGTTGTTTTGGCCGCCGCCCACCAGGTGTTTGATTAAATGCCTAGATGACTTATTCTATTATGTTATCATGGTTTTATCTGTATTTTATCATCGCTTCATTTTGTTTTCTTAATAAATTACTTTTACCTATTTCAGAAAAGTCAACCTAGGATGGGCTTCATGGTAAATTAAGAAGATTAGAGGGACCACAGAAGGTTGACGCCTCAACAGGTCTCGCCCATTTTCATTACTCTTTGATTTTAGAATACTTTTGATAAGGTTTGTTCAATTTAATGACCCCATCTGCATCTAGCTTAATTTATGAGATTAATTGTATGATTTAGGAACCCCATTAGTGTGCGAGGAGTACTCCTTATTGGAAGCAACTATGTTTGGATTTCGAGTTCATAAGCTTAAGTCTTCATTTTTCCTAATTAAGGGTCTCTCTACTATGTCTATGTGAGGGGTATTCCCTCATCATCTGATTTATGCTTCATTTAGTATTTTTGTTTTGACATATATGATAATTCTAGACTTTCACCCACATATGTTGATCTGATTTTTTATTTTAAACACCTCTACTTTAAGTTAATTGCATATTTTAATGTTCTGGGTCCGATTACCTTGGTTTTAAAAACCAGAACATTGACTGTAATCCTGCTTTTATTGTTCTGGGTGACACCTTCTGATGTAAAGGATCAAGTTGATTTAGATGTGAAGGAAAACGTTGATTCTTATGTGTTTTGAATAAGTTTCAGATGGGAATGGAATGGTAATGTGAAGGTGGAGGTGAAAGTGGTTGGCCATGCAATGTTTGATACTTCTAAAGTAGAGAATATCATGTATGATTAAATTTTTATATTTGTTTTTCTTGATTAATATTTGTATCTTTGTTATGTACTATTTAGTATGATGGAATCAGAAAACAAATGGAATGGGAATGAAAGAAATTAGTTTTTAGTATATTAAGTTTTCTAATTTTCTAAAGAATAGTTTCTTCTTTAGAATTATTTGTATTTTTCTTTTAGGGTTTTCATTTTAGAATCATCAAATTCTACCAAAGGGAAGAGACAGCTTCTTAAGCAATATGAATTTCATTCCCCTAATCAACAATATTTAGCCCGTTAATGGTACTTAATCATCTATCAGGTAGAAGCTTTCAAGATTCAAGTTTTTGATGATTATGTAGTAATTGTAGCATAAGTAACAGTTGATGAATATCCTTTCTTTCCGAGTATCTTGCTGTACTTTTGTTTTAATATATGCATACCAACTTTGTATCTGTAACTAAGATATCATTTCTGTTTGGTAAGATAATATAATAATTAATAATTTATTTTGTAAATTTTTCAGGTCAACTTTTTCAGAACTTTTATGCATTAAATGACCGCTTTCTATGCCGATTTTCCTGGTATGAATTACAATGGAATCAGAGTTCGCTATTCTATTCCATTGTATGTTTTGTTTCTACAAAAAATGGAATTCAATTATGTTATGTTCTTTTGGATATAAGTTTGTAACACATGGGATTTATGATTGCAGCAAACAATCTTTCTTTTCTTTCCAGACATGATTAAAGGCATGTTTTTGGCTGTAGTTATTGGACCACCTGTTGTGGTTGCCATCATTTTAATAGTACAGGTATTATTCTATCTCTGAGAAATTTCATTTGCCATGTCATCAAAAGTTGCCAGATGGACTATTATCTTTCATGTTTGAGTTGGTTCTCAACTTGTAGAAGAATAACATAAAATATTTTGGCATCTGAGTGTAAAAAATAATATTTGAACTCATAAGTTCCATAATAATACTTTATTGTGTTACATGTACTTTATTACTTACTCATAATATATAATTCAATCTGATTATTGATTATGTTTGGTGAGATATGTTCTCTGTTCTTGATGCTGCATCTGATAAGGAACCAAAAGTGAGGACTTTTTTTCCCCCTGACACTTGAAATAACAAGGTAAGGAGAGCATTCTAAACATTCTGGAAACTTTAAAAGAAGAGGGAAATAGGGTCTTGTTCAATGCTTTAGCTGTGTTTGCTCTAAGGGAGATCAACTTATCAAAAGTAAGTTACTGTTTCACCCTTTTATTTAATATTTTTGTGATTGAATGAAAGTCTTAATGAAAGTAATTGACAACCCTTTCTCTGTAAATGATGTTGTGATTGTGGGAGAGGTGTTGTGTTTTTCTCTGTTGCTAGGTAACCTTCTCAACAACAACATTCTACTTAAGCAGGTGAGTAATCAAGATTAAGGGAGACTTGTAATCATGTTTGACATTCCTTTCCAGTAAGAAATAGAGTTGTATGATTATTTGTTAGTTTTATAGGAATGTATAACCCATGTTAGCAATGTATTATTTTTGTTTAACATTTGAATGATTCTTTGTATGACATTACAATTTGTGTAATTTATTTTATTTTTTGAGTATGAAATTTTATTTTATATTATGCAATGGATTGTATTTTTTGTATATGGTATTTTATTTCTATTATGAGAAATTAAATGAAAATTTAATTTAAAAATTAATAAATATATAAATTTTTTTTTTTTTAAACATTTAAATTTACGATACGCAAAAATGTGTGTCATCTTCATTTATGACATGGCCTTTCTTGACAGGGGCTTTCTTGATACGCATTGCGTGTCATTAACACGCGCGTCGTAAGGTTACGACACGCGAATGCGTGTCATCTTCCTTTATGACAGGGCCTTCCTTGATACGCATTGCGTGTCGTAAACGCGCGTCGTAATTGCGCGTCGTAAATGAGCGTCGTAAATGCGTGTCGTCTCTCTTTATGACAGGGCCTTCCTTGACACGCATTTGGCGTCGTCTGAGCCTTTTACGATGCGCAATGAGCGTCGTAAAAGGCCTTTTTTCTTGTAGTGACTCTCTCTCTCTCCCCGTACGTCCGAGTGCGGGATATAATTCCTGGTAGTTATAATCAGAATCTCCTTGAGGGAGAACGTGATACTTGTATATAGATCTATATTGGGTTTGACACCCCACACCTTGCTGCTAGCTACAGTGGGACCTGCAGGTTACGGTGACAAATGTCATTTCATTTCGCGACGCCTGAGAAACGTTGTGGCAGGTTCACATAGTCACAGTAATGATTATAGCGACTCACCTAGGGAGTTAACAATTCATTAAAGTTTACAGGATTTCATAAAACCGAAGTAGGTTTTAGGTTGATTAAAAATTTACTT